TGTGTAAGCAAAGTGAGAATGGATGATCATCTTGAATTGCAACATGATGCATTGACACACTCTGGGTATTATAGCGCATGAACAAATATGTGTGTTGCATGACGAATGGATGATCATCTTGAATTGCAACATGATGCATTGACACACCTGGGTATTATGCAGTGCATGAACAAATATATGTGTGTTGCAAAGTGACGAATGGACGATCATCTTGAATTGCAAAGTGACACCATGACAAAAAGTATGTCGGTTGTAAAGTAAGGAATTGACATGCCATGTTCACTGCAGCTGAACGTTGACACTCTTCCTGGGTGCTGAGTGACGTGTGGGAGGTTTAATTGGATGGCTGGATGAAAATGGACGTTTTAGTTTAACCTAGAGGACGCCAGGTCTTCAGTGGATCCGTTTGGTTCCTGAGGACGCTGGGCCCTCACAGTGGACCAGTTTGGCCTGAGTGACGCGGCCTCGCAGGGACCTGTCTGGCCCTTGAGTGACGCCTGAGTTAAATGGGGAAGGTCTGGCCACATCTAGATGACGCGCTGATTCCCAGAACGGTCATTGACGTCACGAGATAGTGCATCCAGATGATGATGATGATGGTGAGGAGGAGGAGGATGGTGCTAATGACGATGGTAGTGGTGGATGATGAGGATGATGGTGCTAGTGATGATTAGAGGAAGATGATCGTGGTGGTGATGATAAATGATGATGATGATGATGATGATGATGATGATGATGAATGATAAGGAGGAGGATGGTGCCGATGGTGATGGTGGCGAGATGATGGTGGCCAGGCGGAGGTTTACACACCGATCTACCTTAAAACAACCAACCTTAGCACAGTGTGTCATTACCTCCTGGGGCTCTTCTTCCTTCCTCCTCCCTCCTACCCCTTCCCTCTCAGTGACAGGCTTACCGAAGATACGCCAGACCAACGTTCGCCCGCTTTCCTCAGTACTGCCACTGATTTATGGCACGAACATGAAAACTTGCGACACAACACAACGCGATGTATAACGACGAAACTCCACGATGTATAGATGTAAAACACAGTTAATATTCTCGAAAAGGCTGGGGTAAGTTTATCCACAGGCATAAAGAATATGATCCGACACGACACGACACGACAGGTTTGAGAGGTGTGTGTCGCGCGGCTCCCCGGGGTGGGTTGAGTAAACAGCGACGGACGACCAGTGACTAGTAGTGATATCACCCTTTTGTCACCCCAGTGTTGGTGTATTGTGGTGTGCTTATTGAACTGTGGTAGTGTGTGGTGTGTGGTGAGTGTGGTAACGTATAGTGTGGTGTAGTGCATGGTGTGGTGTGGTGTGGTGAGATTGTAGTAGTGGAAGTGATGGCTGGATGATATTGACTGTGGTGGAACTTGGTAGTGGTAGGGGTGATGGGTGTTAGTAATGGTGTTGGTAATATTGATGGTGTTGGTGGATGGTATAAAGGTGGTAGTTATAATGCAATGAGGTACTGGTGATGCTGGTAGTGGTATTGTTATTGATGGTTGTGGTGGTTATGGTGATAGTAGTGGTGAATAATCCCACAATCTTCTGCACTGTTCCTGTTATCGTTTTCGTTATCTTCTCCTCTTTATCCATAATATTTCTAACTACCTATTTTATCTATTTATTTCAATTTATTCAGTGTTACTTGAGTTTTATTTATTTTTATATTTACCCCATAAATTTGTATTCTAAATTGTATATAGAAATCTGTATATTTTATGATAATTTTTCTTCATTTCTGTTTATTCCTTCTTAGATTTTATTGATTATTTTTCAACCCTATTATTGTTGATGTTGTTGTTGACTCACTAACAAACACACCACCATTATTTACACAGCCCAGATCAATCCGTAACACAGGTAACAGGAGCCAGACAGGAAGCAGATCTCGTGGAGGTGATTATAGGGCGTGTTGTAGGTAATTATACGGATGGGGGTTATAATACGCGAGTAAATAATTATACAAGCTTAGTGTAATCGCGTGTAAGTAATTGTATGTCGGTGGGTGAAGGTAATTGTAGGTGACGAGATATATATAGAGGCTTCGATGCTAATGAGATTCAGTCGTAAGGGGGTTCCTGGTCTTTAGTGGGGGGTCTAATAGCACTGGGGTCTTGGGACTGGGGTCTAATAGGAATGAGTACTAGTAGGAATGGGATAGTAGGATTGGGACCATTGGAACTGAGATTTAATAGACTGGGACCAATTGGACTGTGCCCTATTAAGAGAAGGACTATTAGGGGACCTATAAATAATATGAGCCCCATTTTACCTACAGCTAATAACTGTGAACAAGCCAATTAACCTGGAAGTCAGGTAGGAGCTTGACCACGTGAATCTTACCTGTACTGTACCTGTCTGTCCCGGGTCATGAGGTGAGGCAGGTGTTGGTTAACTCTCTCTTCTATAACATCTTTGAGAAATAACAAGAGAAAAGAAGGTTTAGAGATAATTGATAAAGGTTGGATAATAATTTTAGAAAGTTCGATAATGACGTGGTTGATTATGGTGGAGGGAGGAGGTGGTTGATTATGGTGGAGGGAGGAGGTGGTTGATTATGGTGGAGGGAGGAGGTGGTTGGCTATGGTGGATGGAAGGGGGTTGACTTTGGTGGAGGGTAGGAGGGTGTGGTTGACTGGTGGAGGGATTAAAGTGGTTGACTGGTGAAGGAAAGTTGCGCTTTACTATAATGGAGAAAAGAAGTGAGGTGGAGGAGAGAAGGAGGAAGGTGTGGTGAAGGAAGGAAGGAGGAAGGTGATGAAGGGAGAGAAGGAGGAAGGTGTGATGAAGGGAGAGAAGGAGGAAGGTGTGATGAAGGGAGAGAAGGAGGAAGGTGTGGTGAAGGAGAGAAGGAGGAAGGTGTGATGAAGGAGAAGGAGGAAGGTGGATGAAGGAGAGAAGGAGGGAAGTGAGGCGGAGGTGGAAGTTAACTGAAGGAATGAAGGGTTTAGATAAATCGATAAAGGTAGGAATAACTAATAGAGACATGATAATGTACAGGTAAAATATTGATTAAGGTAATTAACAGGTAAAAAAATAAATGAAATTAAATAATGTAAAAACAGGTAAAGGTCTAGCTAAAGAAAACAGAATAACGTAGAGACAGATTGAAAATAATAAAAAGAGAATTAACAGATAAGAGTGAACAAAGGAGACAGAAAAAAATAAATATGGAATGAAATAAAGTGAAAATAAAATAAAAATAATAAAATAGGGACAGGTAAGACATTAATAAAACAGGTAATAATGTAGAAACTAGTAGACAGAAATAATGTGGAAATAGACAGGCAAAAAGTGAAGAGAAAAAGGTTGGAGACAGAAAAAATTGGATAAAATGGTAAAAAAAAGGTTAGGAGGAATTAGCTTTCTTCGCCTACAAAGACCTATTGTTATCAAGGCTTTATCCCCCCCCCTCTCTCTACCCATGCTGGTTGGTGATTGTGGGTAGTAGGGATAAGGGATGTTATTGCTTTGTAAGGGGGTATGGGGTTAAGGGGAAGGTGTTCGTGGTTCTTAAGGGGTGTTGTCTATTTAAAGGGGTGTTTGTATGTAAGGGGTTAAGGGTGTTAGTGTCTCAATATGGGGTTAATCCTCATTAAGGGGTTGCTAAAGGGATGTTAGTGGCTCAATAAGAGTTAATTAAGGGAGGTTAGTGGCTCTGTGGAGGTTAAAGGGTGTTAGTGGCTTAGTAAAGGATATGAAGAGGTGGAAAGGGGAAGAGGAAGGGATTTAGGGCTACTTGAAAGTTATGGGCTGGAGGAGGGGGAGAGGGAGGGGTAAACTAGAGGTGGTGGTGAATGAGTTGTTTAAGGTGGTATAGTGGTTGACTGTAGAGAGGAGAGGGAATGGTTTATTGTGGTGGGGAGAGGGGAGGTGAGGTGATTGTAGAGAGGAGAGGAATGGTTTATTGTGGTGGGGAGGGAGGTGAGGTGGGTGATTGTGGTGGAGAGAGGAACGTGGATGACAGGTGTAAGGGAAGGAAGGAAGGAGGAGGGAGGGAGGTGTTTGACGATGGGGGGAGAGGGGGTGGTGGCTTGCTGTATTGGAGAGAAGGAAGAGAGGTGGAGGGGGGGAAGGAGGTGTGATGAAGAGAGGGGGAGGGAGGTGTAGAAGGGGCTCAGTATATGGTAAAGGTGCATTGCTGACAGGGAGGTTGCAGGTGGGAGGAGTAATACTATGCGATATGAAGACGATCGAGTGAGTAAGTGTCCAGGGGCGGGGAGGGGGTGGTGAAAGGGGGTTAGGTGGAGGTAAGGTATGGTGGGTGGTGCAAGGGGGGAGGTGGGTAGAAGTGAGTAGGGGTTGAAAGGGGGTAGGAAAGAGTAGGGGATGGGGTAATTGAGGTAAGGCAACACGGGGTGGGGCGGGGCGGGGTGAGGTGGGGTGGGATGGTGATCGGCAGGTGGTAGAGAGGATTATCTGGGTCAACGTTTATTATTTAGCTAGGGTACGCCGCTTCCAGTCCTCGCTTTTACCCCAGGTGTAAGTTTAGTCCACCGTAGATTCTATTATTATTATTGTTTATTATTATTATTTTTATTATTATTATTATTGTATTTTTAACATGATCATTTTCAGTTCTTACATACAATAAATTACGCCCCCGTTGTTTAGTTGCCTCTGAGTAATTAGCGTGTGGTCGTTATCGGCACGCGAAACGATCGTTCGGAGGGTCTTCACCATCGTTTGACATTTGAAATCAGAAACTGACCGCGTGTGTCTTCCATTACATCATGGAGTATGCTGGCCGGTGACTCATTTCACTATTTTTTCCTCCTGTTTTCCCGAAGATTACTTTATGTAGAGCAGTATCTTCTGTACCTGTGTCTTGTATTTACCTGTAGAAGTTGTCAGGTGGAGGTAAGAGCCATCAGTCGTTTATAGTAATTGTGGGAAATATGATAGATTAATGAGTAACTGGCGACTGTTGGGTGGGTGGGTGGCTCTCTCGGCGCCCAGCTGATAGTGTGGGTTAGATGCCCAGTGTGTCAGTGGCAGGCTCAGAGGTTGGGTGTGTTGGGCACCTCGTCTCCCCTCCCAACCATGACTGGACGTTCATAAACTTGATCACAAACCCCGTGTTGATATCTCCCGCAGTGTGAGTGATGGAACTGTGTTAAATACTGACCACCGGAAGTGTATCAGTACACTGTATTACGCTGCCAGTGTAACTTAAGTACTACTGTATGTCTTATAACGTGTGTTAATAATAATGGAAAAATATTAAGTGATAAAATACAGTTTCTTATACTGAGAGTGATTGAAAAGAATGTTAAAATGTGTTAACAGGTGTGTGTATTATAACTGCAGTTAATTAGTAAACAAACAGTAATAATACAGTCGGTGTGTGTGTGTGGCTCAAGCCGTGCCATATAGAATCAGTGTCATTGCCAAGTGAGGCGGCAGGAGCGGTCACCACGGCACTGAGTGGAGGTCACGGGTCAAGTTAGGCACCAGCCGTCTCCCCGTGTCCTGGCAAGAGAGTCGTGACACGTTATGACGGCTCTGTCACTGCGCTGCCTCAGGTAAGTACCGTGACGTGACTTGGTGACCTTGTTTAGGGGGTGGGAAGAGTGAAGTATTCTTGAACTACCGACCGACCGACCCAGGCCTAATTCTATAGACATATTTACTGGGGTCTTTATCTGGCTAGATCCAATATCAACAAACGCCGGCAAGCGTCAGATTAGTAGTGACTATATCGTAAGTAGGCTAATCGGGTTGTGATTAGGACTAATGCATAGCCAATCTTGGAACATGTATGGTTAGGTTAATCCCAGTGTAGCTTAAGGTAGGCCAGGTTTGGTGAGGGTAATATTGGATTGATATATATAACTAACGTCAAATGTAGGTAATGATTGGTGAGCTTAAACCCGTCCTAAACTGTCTAGGTGAGCTTAAACCCACCGTAAGCTGTCTTGGTGAGCTTAAACCCACCGTAAGCTGTCTTGGTGAGCTTAAACCCGGCGCGTCGTAGTGAAACTCGCCTTTTGGTGAGGTTAGATCCGCCGCGATAACAGAGTTGACCCTGGGAACGATCCTACCCCGTGGGCCAACGTTTGTTTATATATTTATTTAATTTAATCGACTACATACAGCGAGTGAAGTTAACGATGCTACTTCTTAAGAAAGTGTTGTTAGTGACACAGCCTCCCGTACATGGCAACCCCTCCATGAACTTAATGAAGGCGAGGCATGGGGACTGGCTGGGCTGCTTTAGGTAGACGAAAAATCTATTCCCTGGCCCGGGTGAGGTGTCGCTGTGAACTCTTCAAGACTTACAGTGGACGAGAGTACCGGGTGAGTGTTGGAGTGTGTGTTATGAACGCAGGATCTTGAATAGTGTTTAATGGCGTTTTACTGCTGGTGGGTACGGTAAGGTAAGGGGCCTTGTTTGTTGAAGGGGAGGGAATAAGGGAGGGCGACCTGGGCGAGTGTGGCAGAGGCGATCTCCTTTAGGGAAGCATACAAGCTGGCGCTGGCACAGGTGGAGGGAGGGAGGGAATCAGGGAAGCTGTGTGGCCGCCGTCATGCAGTGGGTGGGGTCATGCATACACAGCTGCACGCGTCGAAATAAACATCGGTGGTATAAACACACAGACCCGTTCACCCTCATGTTTATTGGGACGGGTGAGAGTGAAGTCACTATGAATGGACCTGTTTTTGTTTAGTGTTGTGTGGCCCGAGTCTCTAAACGTCTAGGCAGAGTCTTGATCTCCAGTGTAATTAGTTTTTGCTTCATGTGTCGACGGGGGAATGTTAGGAGGTTACGTTGGCTTACTTGAGGACAGTCTAGTGTGTGTGTGTGTTCCTGTATGTGTATGTTACTGTGTGCGTGTGTGTGTTTTGTGTTCCTGTATGTGTATGTTACTGTGTGCGTGTGTGTGTTTTGTGTTACTGTATGTGTATGTTACTGTGTGCGTGTGTGTGTTTTGTGTTACTGTATGTTACTGTGTGCGTGTGTGTGTTTTGTGTTACTGTATGTGTATGTTACTGTGTGCGTGTGTGTGTGTTTTGTGTTAGTGTATGTTGCTGTGTGCGTGTGTGTGAGTTTGTGTGCACCCAGCAGTTCAAGTGACTGCCTGGCCACGCTATCATGTGGCCTTTCACATCACGCCCATTCCACCACACCCACTACATTCACGCCCAGCCACTGCACTCACGCCCACCCCCAGTCACTGCATTAACGTCCGTCCTCTCCACTACATTCACGCCCATTCCGCTTACTGCATTCACGCCCACCACATACAGTTAGGCTAGTCTGGGTTTGAGTTAGGTTCAATTAAGTTTAGTTAAGTTGGTTTAGGCTAGGTTGGTTTAGGCTAGGTTGGGTTCAGTTAGGTTCGGTTAGATATGGTTAGGCTAGGTTGGGTTAGGCTAGGCTAGGAATAGATTAAGCCGTATTAGGCCTGAGACCCACATATGAACAGGTCAGCCGGTCTCTACCCACAACACCTAGAACAAGTCTCTCATCCATCACTCACCCGCATCATAAACTTGTCATCCGGATAAGTAATTTATGATAATCTATTGACCAACACCATCATCTGTATCCACTTGTTAAGCTGTGATGACGAACAGGTTAATGCTGAGTCCGCCTGGGTGTGGGTGCGTGGGTGTGTTTAATTGGGCAGGTGGGAAGGTGTCAAATGAGGTGGATTAAGTTCAGGTGCGGTGAGGAGAAGACAGGTAAACATGGCGTCGGTATTGTATTGAGACTTTACTATATTTTGGTTTCTTATCTTTTGAGGATTAAAAGTTTAGTTGAGATCAGTGAGAGTCTTTTGTGTGGGTTCTTTACCGAGTAGTCCCCGACCTCTCTCTCTCTCTCTCTCTCTCTCTCTCTCTCATTCGTCAAACCGTAAAACCAAACCTCTGAACGCTCACAAAATCGCTCCATTAAGCCAGGATTTATAGTATAGTCGTAGAGTGACATCGGTTATTGAGACACTTTTATTCATATTAGCGTTTCCAGATTTTGTTTTTAGTCCAAATTTCCCTTTTTGAGGAAATTTAGTAACTTAGAAATTATTTTTACTACTTGGAACTTCATCTTTTACTCTAAATTACCTTCCCTCTGTTGGAGTTTTATTTACCACTATAACATTAAGAGATATATCTAAAATTAATAAACGAAATATCCCGCCACTGGGAAATGAACGTGTACCCCCTTGAGATTATTCCTCCATAGAAAATGTGAATGTCAACAAACTAGATTCCTGGGGGAGGACGGCGGTGGATGGGGTACATATATTGCCTAAGCCCTGAGGAGGAGGAGGTGGTGGTGGGGGGGGGGGCGGCGGCTTACTCTGGGAGGATGTGTGAGAGTACTGTACTGTACTTACTCTAACTATATGGATTACTTTAAGGAGGACTGACTTTACTTTAAATTTGCTACACATGCTTCTTGATCAGCCGAGTCACACAGACACTCACTTTCTACTCCTACCCATTACAACGAGTTTCAGGTAATTCCAAAATTAATTACCAGAAGCTCACCTTTCATCATAACAGGTACCTGACTCCTCCCTCAGAATACAGGTAACAGCGCCACTTTGCCTCTTGTTTTGGACACCTGCTGCCCCGCCACTTTACCTTACAGCTGATAGGTGTTTTTATCATCACCTGTTGAGTTTACAAGACGGCCATGGTGTAAATAGCGGGTGTTGGTGTGTAATGTGGACGTTGTGTCGAGCTTTTTGTCTTTATTAATTAATACTTGTTAAAGTGTCTGTAATTGGCTCGGGTGGAAATTCAGGTTTGATATCAGTAACTTGGTTGCGTGTTAAGGAGTTATTTAATGATTATTTTCGTTATTGTAGGTTTCATTTTGTGTGTGTGTGTGTGTGTGTGTGTGTGTGTGTGTGTGTGTGTGTGACAGGTGGTGGTGTGGTTTCTGGGACAAGGCTTATTGTGAGTCACCTGTGAGACTCTCTCTCTCTCTCTCTCTCTCTCTCTCTCTCTCTCTCTCTCTCTCTCTCTCTCTCTCTCTCTCTAACACCAGGCTAGCGTCGGGAGGTGATAAGTTAACTGCCACATGATCCACCAACCTATTGCTATTCTCACCTGGCACTCATATAACCAGTGGCACTTTGGACTGTCGTAACTACCTTTAACATATTCCTGCTCCTTGGTATTGGGGATAGAGCGGGGGTGGTGGCTCCTTTAAGGCCTTTACTAAATAATTGTGTCGCCTCACCTAACCAATGTCTATCCCGCTCTTGATTAGGTACAGTTTATAATGTAACTTAACCCTAACTTACCCCTAAACGAACACGATTTAACTTAACTCTAACCTAACTGTACCATAACGTGTTCATATTTAAAAAAAAACTTGTTATCCAAAGCTTATAACGAGTAATTGGTCACCTCTGGGCCACTAAGCTTTTAGAGGGTCACATGTTCTCCGATTGTAAGCTGTGACTTGAATTGATAAGCTTTTTAGAGGTGGTGAAGCTTCCATCTAACGGATATAGTTAGTCCGTTAGATGCAGGTTTCATATCTAACGGACTACCATTCCCTTATAGTTCGTTATGTGGAGGCTTCTCTGTATATACTACCCGATTTTTTTTTTATTATTTACAGGTTATATTTAGGCGTCAGCAGCTCTATACATGCCTCGGTTACTGACTGACTGACGGACATATAAAGGGCTAGGCGGCAGGTAGTGAGGATTAGAGGCTCTTCTACCCCCAGGTGATGCGAACCAAGGCCCTCAAGGTTACGAGCCGAATGCACTGACCATTACACCACCAGTCAAGCGATTGGTCCATATTAGGGAAGGAAATGTGGGCCCTCTTGGCTAAGGTGTAATGGGCAGGTACCTGTGGACCACGCCCGAGAGAGAGAGAGAGAGAGAGAGAGAGAGAGAGAGAGAGGTGTATTAATGAGGCGTAGTGAATGTTGCAGCTCTCTCTCTCTCTCTCTGCAACAGGTTGGCTCTGTGTACCCTCCGCCTCTCGCTTAATAAATTATCCGCTCACCTAAATTAGTGTATCGGAATTAACATAACCAAATGCGGTGAGTTTTTTTTTTTACCCCGTTATATGACGAAGAAAACGACCATTACCACTGACGGATATTCTTATGATTTTTAATGTTTTTTTTTTCTCGTTTCAAAGTGATTTTTATTTTTACTTTCGATGTTCAGGTAATTTATTTTTTCACCTGTATAAAGATAGAAAGGTCAGGTTGATTTGATAGTAATATGGCGTAGGATAAGGTGAGGGTAGTACTGCTTAATATGATATGTTAGGTCAGGTTTGTTACTGGTGCAAAAAGTAAGTCAGGTGTACTGGGTCACTACTAAAGCTACGTCAGGTGTACAGGGCTAGTACCGGTACAGTAGGTTAGGTCAGGTGTACAGTTCTAGTACCGGTACAATAAACTAGGTCAGGTTAGTACAGGAGAGATTCAGTTGCTGTATTAGTTTACAATATACGTGACAGGCCGCGGCCATACGAGGCTTAATTTTCGTTAAAGGAAGTATTGTTATGATCAACCAGGCTATCCTCCCCCCCACAA